GGGCGGGGGCGCTGCGGGCCCGGCCGAGGGGCGGTTCCGCCCCGCGGGCCGCAGGCGGCGCTGTGCGCGGGCCCGGATGTGACGCGCGGGGCGGGCGCTGCGGGCAGCCCTTTGTGCGGCCCTCTGTTGTGCCGGCCTTTTGTCGGCCCTGTGTCCGCCCTGTGTCGGCCGAGGCGATGCTGGCGGCGGGCGGCAAGAAGGGCGCGGAGGCGGCGGCGGGCGGCGAGACCGGGCCGGAGGCGCCGGTGCCCCCGCCCGCCGCCGCGGGGGCTCTGGGCTCCTCTTCCGATAGCGGCGGGGCTGCGGAGCGCACGCCCCGCAAGAAGGAGCCGCCGCGGGCCTCTCCCCCGGGTGGGGGGTCCGAGCCGTCGGCCACCGGGGCCACCCCTGCGCCCGGCGCCGAAACCACCGGCATCGCCGAGACCCCCGAGGGCCGCAGGACCAGCCGCCGCAAGCGGGCTAAAGTAGGTGTGGGGCGCTCCGGGCCCCCTGGCGCGGAGCCGCGGCCGGAGGCGGGCTCGACCTGCGCGGGGCAGCGCTGCCCGCGGGACCGGGCCCGGCGCGGGGCTGAGCGCTGTGCCCGAGGGGGTTCGGGGGGTGAGTTCGGAGGATAAACACGCGGGCGCGCAAGAAGGCAGTGCCGGTCCAGATCCCGCAGTGTCCCAGCTCTTCGTAGACTATGGTGTGACACGGTGCGTGTCACAAAGGAGAGCATTCTGCAGCAGCCCAGGAACTTTTTGGGGTTCCTGATCGGATACCGAACACTGAAAATACTCCAAGTCCCTGACAGTGCATCGAAATGCTCAGAAGCTTACATATAATCAGTACATTCTTGTCACTGGAGTATATAGTTGCAGATTCTCTCGAGTCTCATGTTCATGGGGCTGTGGTGGTTTTGCAAGGTTTGCGAAGGTGATGGCCACCCTCAGTCCACTGTTCCTCACCTTCCCTCTCTTGGCTTTGGTGAGCTGAGTCAATGCTGTGTTAAGGGTCAGACTTAGCAATTAAATGCAAGGGCCATAACGAGTCTCCAGTAATTTGGGTCTGTAATATGTAACTCTCATCTATTGTTCTGAACATATGAGAACGTTGTCTTTTTTTTTGTGAAACTTTTTCTTCAAAGCCTTGTTTCAGAAGATGTTGAAGATCTTGGCTGTGCCCACAGCTGGGGTGTTTGGCAGGGAAGCTGAAATTACTTTTCCGAACTGTTTTGTCCTGTGGCTGTGGCATTGAATGTGTGACCCTTCAGAGCCATTGTGTGATGCGATAGCTGGACTGGTCATTTGCACACAGGAGCTGTTGGGTAGGTCAGTCTGGTGCATATTTTAAACTGAAAGAAGGTAGATGTAGCTTGGACATAAGGAAGATATTTTTTACTATGAGGATGGTGCTGGCCAGAGAAGCTGTGGCTGCCCTATCCCTGGAGGTGTTAAAGGCCATGTTGGACAGGGCTTGAAGCAAACTGGTCCAGTGAGAGGTGTTCCTGCACATGGCAGGGGGGATGGAATGAGATATTTTGAAGGTCCCTTCCATCCCAAACCATTCTGTGATCTTCAGAAGCAGCATTCCTGCTCTGTAGTGGTCTGTTAACAAGTAAGGAATTAGTGCTCTGTGTGGGTTGTGTGTTGATGATGTTTCTCTGCACTGACAGTACTTATCTGCAAAGGGTTGTTCATCTCCTGTGACACCCTCTGTCCCCATGAGCACTTCAGCCCAGCACGAGATTGCCTTACCGTGAATCTTTGTGGTGTGAATTTAGGTGGGGGGTTACCCAGGTTAAAAATAAACCTAGGGAAGAGGTTAGTTTTTTTATTGAACTTGATTGTTCTTCGAAAACTCTGTGAACTCAGGGGGGATGGGAGACTTCTGAGGGCCTTTGTGCAAAAATAATGTGGCTTCAAATACCCGTGGTAATGTACAGATGTGCTGGAGGGTCACTGTAATTTGCTTCAGAGTGGAGTTCGAAGAACGTGCTAGTGGTGCAACATTTGCTCAACAGTGGGAAAAACTAATGTGCTGGAGATTGTGGAATGTAAATGTTTAAAAGAGAGCAGATCATGGAGTATGTGTTAGTGTTTTACTGAATCCAGAATTTCCTATACAGAGGCTTCCCAAAGAAACACAGTTGTGTTTTGAGTTGTGCCCGTTGCTGCCCTTTCTTAATGACTGAACTCGGGCTATGAAAGATTTTTTGCTCTTTTAATGAGAAATGCAGAGTTGCATTTGTCATTTCATGGTGGAAACTGACCTGTCAGATGTTGGAGGGTCACTAGCTGCTTTCTTTTTATTTTTCCCATGACTGCATGTTGAGAAGTGCTTTTTTCCTTTCCAGTAGATAGGGATATTCAATAGCATTGTACAAACCTTTCTTACTTTGGAACTTTGTTTTATTGAACGGTAAGAGATGCATCCCTTCCAGGCTATTTTTGAGGTTTCCCTGTTCCTTTAAGTTGGAGCAGCGTCTTTTTGGCTGGTAATACTATTTATTTTTACTGGAGAGCAGTACAAAACATGCATGGCAATAGAAACGGGTGGGAGCAGGGCATTGTTCTGGTGTTGAGCCACTAGTGTAACTGTCCTGGAAAGGAGGCAGCTGTGAGCCTCTATGTCAGGACAAGATTCCCAGGAGACTGTACAGGACGCAGGTGGGATTTCCTCAGAAATCTTGTGTATGGTTCTGGTCACCCATGTTTGGCAGATAAAAGTCAAGTTGGAACATATGGACACAGAGGCAACTTGTTATCCCCAGGTTTGACAGGGACAGGAAGGAAGGGAAGAAAACTAGAGGGGCTTTAAATGATGATACAACAAATTCAGGTAAACTGGGCTTGATGTGAGTAGAAAGCTCCCACTGTTGGGTGCTGGAGACATTTTTTTATGTGGAAGTGAAAACATGGAACTTGTTAAGCTTTGTTGCATTTTATAACCTGGTATCTATAATAAGACTGCATAAGGTATCAAGCCTTCTCTTTGATCTATAAGCAATTTTGTTATTTGCAGTGTTCATTTTTGTAGCCCAGCTTACAGATACCTTCAGTGTGTTTATTCTCTCTTGTGCTTTTTGCAGGTGGAGTACAGAGAGATGGATGAGAGTCTTGCAAACCTGTCAGAAGATGAGTATTACTCTGAAGAAGAGAGAAATGCTAAAGCTGAGAAAGAGAAAAAACTACCCCCACCACCTCCACCAGCTCCTGCAGAAGAAGAGAATGAAAGTGAGCCAGAGGAGCCATCTGGTGAGTAAAGAGAGACCTTCTCCTTTGACACTACTTACCTAGTTTATTAACAGAAATGTAGCAGAGCCAGGTGTGGCATCATCATGAATTCCATGTGTGGGTTTGATCTGGTTTCAAATGATTGTTCTACAGTGTTTTATTTGCTTTCCCCGTTTTCCTGAGAGGGAAAACTCAGAAGAGCAGCCTGAAAAAGTTGAGAATGGGCATGAATCTAATTCCAAATGAAGCCAAACTCATGCTAGATTCTCATGATCCTTACTGACTTGTGTTTGGAAGCTTATTGACCAGAGTAGCCTCTTTGGCTCTCTGCTGCCACACCTGCTCATGTAGCAACACTCACTCTGAGAGAGAAAAAGTTTAGTTTATAGGGGGAGATTCTGTGGAGAAAAACAAATTTAATATACTGTGATTCCTATAGCTTTAAACAGTGACTCTAATCTTAAGTTCTGGTTGAGTACTGTTCACTTGAACTTCAGTGTTTTCCTCATTATCTTTGACAGAGCTTCACTTTACAGTTAAAAGTTTTTTAGTTAGGAGGCAGCTTTCAAAATCTGTGGTCGTAGCAGTACCCTGTCCTTTACCTCTGTTGTGTTTACAGCTCCCATCATTAGTGAGGTCTGGTGGTGAGGCATCACTCAGGTGTCTACAAGATGGTGCTTTTGCAAAGTTCAGAATCCGAGATTTTATGAGATAACGTGCTAGTTGTTTTGGAGCAGAGCTGAAATCTAGTAGTTGAATCTTTGCTTATTCATTACGTATGTGAATTATTGCTAGTCTGCAGTTGCACCCTTAATTTTCTTTTTGTCTGGCAGGTTTGAGAATGTAGGCAATAGGACTGATATTGGCTTGGGGATACATAACTTTAGTTGCAGAAAAATTATTAAAAGCCACAGTTGTGTTTTATCTCTTAGGCTTTTGCCTTTGTAACCTCTCCTTGTTGCAGCTGTTGGCTCCTGCCTTGATGCAGGAATACTATAGCTGATATGCTTGACTAAAATATTTGCAATGATAAAAAACCTCCTCCCTCAGTTGTAGCTGATGTATCAAAAACTGAATTTTAATAGATGTAATTAAGCAAGTATCTTAAGTTTACTATTTGGTTTTGCTTGGACCTTGTGTTTAATCTCTGAGGCCTAATATTAATACATTTTTATTTCTCTCAGATTCATTTTTATGCCTCTAAGGATGATTATTGAAATCTGTTTGAAGCATAATTGGTAAAGTACAGTGAATTAGGTTTTATCCCATGAAAGAAGAAATGTGGAAGATAAGAGCAGTGATGAGTCATGCTATTCTATACACACAACAGCCTGTTAAGCAGTTATTCTGCAAGCACTGTATTTAGCCATCTAAATACAATCACTATCTAAACAGGCTCTATCTAACTGTTTAGAAATGAGTTGACTTCAGGTCATCATACAGTTTCTCAATTCCTAGAAATTCTGTGATATGCATGAAGCAGTAAAGCAGGAAAAGGACAAATTTTCAGGTGTCATTCCATAGCTAGTGTTGCTGTAGTTTTGAAGGCTGATATACAAGCTATATAGGCTTGTGGATCTCTCTATCTTTGTCTTTATTAATGCAGGTGTCAAGAACATCAGGTCATCTTATGCTGGCTGTTAAAGTGCATTGAAACTTCTAATTCAGGCACCTGTTAGAAGGAGGAGGCCTGGAGTCTGCTGTATATAAAAGCAGTGTTTATAATTGAGGTTTTCTCTTTCTGTGTCTCTTTGAAGCAAAAATTGACGTGTTGAATAAGAAATACTAAATTGGACAGTAATACTAGAGTAGGATTGCACATTGTAAATTTAGCAGAATTTTAATTACCGTGTATATTACTGTTTATTCTCATTGCAGACCTTAAAATTTTCCTTTCTGTGTTTAAAGCCTATAAAAACACAGGGAATGCAGTAGAGGTGTAAAGGTGTCATTTTATAGGTTATGCCCTTTAGAGTTGAAAAGCCTGACTGTGCAACCTACAAGCGTCTTGGTGCCAGTGCCTGGCACTGCATTACCTTGTCCCCACAGACAGCTTACAGTGAAGTAGGTTACTAAGTGTCACAATTCAGGTGAGAGTGAAATGCTGGTCTTATTTGAGGTAGATCCTGTTTATGTATTCAGCTGTGGGGAGTTCCAGGTGTTATATACATTATTACAGTCTGGATTTGCTACAGGCTATATACGTTATTATAGTCTGGATTTGCAAGATTTACTGCCTACTGTTGCAGAGCAGTTTTAAAAGGTGTGACAGTATTTCATGGTTAATATAATTTCCTTAGATTTTCTCTTCTCTTTTTATGTGAGAAATGCTTTCCAATAGCAAAAGGCTTCCAAATTCCCTTTCAGTGCTGAATGACATTTGTGTTCTTGTTTGCCAGTATCCCTTCTGAAATTAAGGAGCTTACTACTTTTGTTTTTCTCCTCTAAGGATCTTTTTGGTTTTTCCTCACCAAATTGGATTTTTATTTTTATAACTATTGAAGATTATCAGCTCTTGGACATTTAGTGTGCTCAGTATTCTTACTTGGTGGTAATCCTAGCTTCTCTTTTCCAAGGAACTGAGTATGATCGAGATTAACCTCAAGTGAATACTCAGTCTTAGTGGTGCTCTGTCTCTGTCATCTGGCTTTGTCTGTTTTTTTAAATAACTTCAATACTCTCTGATATTCGTGTGCAGCTGTTTTTTATTTTGAAATGGGATAATTGTATGAAGTGGACTCCTTTGCGGACCGACTTCCTGATTACTCTTCAGCTCACGGTCTGTTATTCTGTTGCCTTGAGACTTGCATGTGTACGGTGGAGCCACAATAGTGTGATGTTATTGTGGATCAGCAGTTTGCTTGCTGATTTGTTCCTTTGCAACTAGAACCTGACTTTCTTCCAGGGAAAGAGAGCCAATCTTCACTAGCAGGCCTTGTTTGCACACTTCTGTGCTCAGACTGGGTAGCATTTAGAATTGTGTCCAAGCAAGCAGTAATACTCATGAGAAGAGGAAAATACTGATTTCTTTCTGTAAATAAGCTGAGATCAATTTTTTCCTCTCTACTCCTTGTCAGTGCTAATTCAGGGATAAAGAATTCCACAGACTGATGTCAGCATCTTTTCACTTTCTTAATTTATGGAAGGCCTAAGTGAAACTGTGATTGCAAATTAATGGCCTACGATTGAGTGTAAATATTAATGTTTGAGTTGTGTTAGTCTCTGCTCGAATGAAAGCAGGTCTTAAAATGCTCCCAGCAAAATAAAATACTTGCAGTGCAGGTCAAGTAAGGAATTTTATCTTGCTGTTGCAGATATGTTGGTTCATAGAATCCTGACTTTGGGTCTTGTAAGGCCTTTCAAAATACAGTTATTTGTCACAGTTTCTCTTGTGAGTTTTTGGATTTTCCTGTTGGATGACTGATTATCTACAAGTACTGACTATTGCTCCGCTGTAGCTGAGTGAAAGTGTCTGTCTTGTTTCAATTCCTATTTTGTTTTACAGATGTGTAATGTGACGACATTCTAAATGTTAGTCCAGGTTATCACAGTATGCAAACATCTGGTTCACTTTTTCTGTCTTACTTTAGGGGTTAAATTTGTAGTTCAGATGAAATTCTTTTAAGTTAGTGTATCCCTTAAGAACCTCAAACTACACTCTGGCAAAATTGTCCACCTGGTCCCAGACTCTTTTAAACAGTGTGTTTAGCCACAGGTTAGACCTTGCTCTTACCTGTTTGGAGATGACACCTTGAACAGTTGTGCTCTAGGAAGTGCCTGTTGCACTCCAGTGACTGTTGCAACAGTGTGTTTCAGTGGGGGTTGGGTTGGGATTGCTGACTACTGAAGCATGTGGTTTGAAAGAGCCTTGGTGCAGCAGCACACGGCAATCTCTGGAGTGTGCTGTGGCTTCCAGCGCTCTGCAGGTGACAGGACGCCAGGCAAACATCTGACTGTGGAGGAATATTGCTCATGAGCTCAACCCGAAGCTAGTGTCTCCTGTGAAGTGAGCAGTGTGTGAGGTGACCTGTAGTGGCTTTGTTCCTGCTAGACACTGCAGCTGTACTCATCTCTTTTCGCAACGTGCTCTGTTCCTGCTTGTGTTGCAGTCCTGTAAAGGCTGCTGTTCAGGACTTTCATGCAGGCTAAGGTAATTCTGAGACTTCTTCAGATCTTTCAGATGAGTGCTTAGCCTTTCGTCATGTTTCTGTCACTGGGTATGTTGAAAGACTGATGTCTTTCAGTGCTGGGTATTGATCACAGCACTGATCAATGGTCTGATGTGTACTTGGCTTCAGAGGCAGTCTTAGTATGTTAGAACATTGATGGTGTATCAAAGGCACTGAAGCCAAAATAAGTGATCTGAGCCTTTAAAGAAATATTATGGCATGAAGTTTCAAGGAAGGGTTTATGACAGAAAGATTAGGAATAGGCTCTCCTGAATGTAAGAGGTTTTTCAGAATGGCTCAGACTATCCCCTTGCATATGAGGAGACTCAGGAGCACCAAAGGCAAGCTAATCAAATTCTTAGGGCTTTAGATCCGTAGAATCTGATGGTATCCATCCAGCTTGGCAGTAAGAAATGTGATCTGATTATTTAAATCATAGCCATTAATGAAGTTGATTATAAATATTTAGCCACCAGGAATGCTACATATTGAGTACTTCTTTATTTCCCGTAAAATCTTATCTAAAGCGTTCCAGTAACACAGATAACACTTTAGAAGATCACAGTTTGGTGCCCTGAATCTAGGTTCCAGAAGATGGGATTATCAGAAAATGGGTTTAGTTAGTTGGTGAAATTTAATACCTACAACGCCAACTTGCCAGGCCTTTATGTCCAGTGTGGTTTAACTTATGGAGTAAGGTCCCTGAGTTCTCCTCTTTCCTTCCACAGGGCAAGCAGGAGGACTTCAAGACGACAGTTCTGGAGGGTATGGAGACGGCCAAGCATCAGGTGAGGGTGGCGTTTGATGCTTGCCACTGAGTAGCAAGAGCCGCCAGGTTAGGGATTGATGCTTGCAAGTGCGCATGGGTGTGGTTGTCCCAAATTTAGCAAGAGATGTAGGAGTTGTGTACCCACCTGTTTAAAAAGTGAAGGGTATTTTCAGATTTCAGTTGAGGACTATAACAACTGTGAAAAAGGGCACTAGCTAACCTGTGTTGAAATGCCTCAGGCCGATCTCTCATCCCTCCACTCCTCTCCATGTTCAGAGGAGTCCAAACATGCAAAAAGCTATTTCTTACCTAGCCAGTTTATACCACCTCGACTGACAGAGAGAACCCTGGGCTTTAGAACAGTAAGACCTTTTTTCTAATTTGCTGAAGAAACGTAGCATGGAGTACCTTTTTGCTCCTTTATTTTTGCCTTTTGAAAGGGTTTGTGTTTGAGCTGTGTGCCAGCGGTTAGTCCAGGAGATTATCTACTGGGCACATTCATAGTCTGGAGCTCACTGGACTTGATTGTGAATTGTGTTTGCCATTTGGCCTCAGTACTGCTGCTGGCAGTATGCACTTACTGCTTCAGTCACGGGATTGGTGTCTTAACTGTTAAGTACTTGGAATGCTACTGAAAATCTTCTCCGACTCTGCCGCTTTTGCTCTCATTTCAGGATTAGGGTTAAGCAAAAGAGTCAAAGGCTCTATAACCTGTTCTGTACATCCAAGTTGCTCTTTTTGAAGAAAACAGAACTTCGGGATACTCATCTAAAAGTGCATCCTTTGCTGTTCTAAGTAAGGGAGCCAAGTACTGTTACGAATCTTACCACTTAATCAGAACTGCTGGCTCATGGGCTTAAGGGTGCACTGCCTATTTCATTTATAGGCAGGCATTTGCTAATTGGAAATTCTGCATATTTTGCATTTTGTATGTATGATAAGAGTATGCTTTAACAATTGTCCAATTCATTGGCCAGAAAACTTTCCTTCAGAGCGTTTTTCATCTGCAGATGTTTCAGTGAGTCTTTAAATGAGCAGCATCCCTCAGAATTTCTTCTGTGAGGAAGAAGATAATCAGAACTTTAGCACATGACTTCCTGATGCTCAATGTCGGGAAGTGGCGAGTGTGTGTGCGAATGTGTGTGGGGAGGAGCTGAGTCCAGGCAGAGCCATTCCTTCAGTGTTAGAGTTGCCTGCCCCAAGGAGGAGCACGTGTAGTTCTGAACTGGTACTCCCTGTAATGTGTTGCTTTCAGGGAATACAAGCAATAGAGGTGTGGAATGGGTGGGATTTAAGCAGCCTGAAATCCAAATCCATTTAGCTTTGAGCTGTGTAGTTGCAGAATTAAATTCAAGGACATTTAGTTCTTACAAGATCTTCCACTGCTTGGCCAAATAAAAATGATATCTTTGCTATTAATAGCTATGCTTTTGCTAAATTCTTGTATCAAACGCTGTTATGGCTTAGGTTTTTCGGGTTTTTTTCTTAAATACCAGTGCTCATCTGGACCTATTCTGACATTTTTGTTTTAAAGTCCATGTATTACCATGAAAGACATGTGGCCTTAAAAAAAAAAAAAAAAACACCACAACCCACCTTGGAGTTCTTTACAAAAATATTAGCAATGCCATAATCTCTGGCTGGTCAGTTTGAAGAAATAAATCCCAAAGCTTTTCAAGAAAATACTGAGTTGCCTTAAATCCACATCTGAGTTCCCTGGTTGTTCATGATTGCATGGCTTTTTAGCAGATACCCGGAGAAGCACACTTCTTTTAGCACAAGTCTGTAAGACAGAGTCAGATTTCAGCATTTCAGGTCATTAACTGGCCATTCTCTGAAATTGTGCTGCTGAGGTTTTTGCTAGCACTTGAGGATCTAGAACCCTAGTTAAGATTTGTTAACATTAATGAAGTATCAGAGAATTGATAACTTTGGTTTGATTTCCATGCTCAGTTTTACAGGATTTATAGTTGAGCATATGCATTTCTATGCAGAGGTTGACACGCTTGGGCCTGTGTTAGATGGAAGGACAGCGGAGGGGCTGGGAGATGGTTATTACTGGAGAAACTGAAGTTCTAGCAGAGCTGTAGGTTTCTATTCCATAGCTGAATATCAGTGCAAGAAACATTCTGGCTGTGACAGTTTCTCCTATGGTTAATTTTACTTGTAGTGCTCTGTAGCCTCTGTTACTAATTTCCTCTTGTAAAATTCCTGGATTACAGACAGTTTTCTTTACCTTGAGATATCACACAATTAGATCTTTTGATCTTTACTTGTGAGCGAATTTATTTGGTTTCACAACCATTTCCTTCCTCAATTTTTTTTTTTCATTACCTTTGGAATGTAAAAAGCTTGAAAGTTAAAGGAGTGTGTGGTGGCACCAGAACTGGAGGAAGATAATTTCTCTTCCTGATACAGTTAAGTGTACCGCTGCAGGGGAACTTCAAACTCTCTGAGAGTTGTCTTGGTTACTGTAATACACTGCAAGCTTGTATTTTCTTTGATATCTATAATAATCCTTTGAAACAATTCCAGTTTCAGTAAATGATCTTAATCTTACTGCATTACTTGTGGGATTTTTTTTCCCCTTGGGATGTATTGGTTTCTGTCTTTTCAGACTGAAGGCACTCTCCTCTGTCTGTCCTGATCGTAAGTCGCTTCCTAGGACATGGGAGATTGATATTGTTCTTGCTGTGTTTCACATCTCAGTTCATTTTGCTCACTGTGCCTGCAAGGTGTGTTTTCTTCACTCATGCTGTAGCACTTGATGCAGTTGTGTCTTAGTTTGTTACTTTGAAGTACAACGTCCCAGAGACTGAGGAAAGCAGGGTACAGAACTATAGTTACTTCACTGCTAGTGTGTGAATTGACAGAAGTGCAGGTGCCTGTATGAATGAAGGCCTTCCCTAGAGAAAACCTCTCCTGTAGGGGTTCAGCGCCAGTGTTTTACATGTGGAGCATTTAAAAGGAAAAGTAAGAAATCTGTAGTTTTAGTGTACACAGCACTTGGGAGGGGGCACAGGAAATGTGTGTGATTGTATTTCATTGTACTACATGATTTGAATATATCAAATGTGCAAAAAGAGAGGTTAAGATGGGTTTCTCTAGCTGGAGGAGGTCAATGCAAATTAAACCTTGAGAAGCAGGTGAGAGGGGACAGTAGACATTTGCTTGTTTCTTCAAGATATTTGGCTTTGAATAGGTTCCAAAATGTTTTTCCAATTCTAGTAGAAACTGGAAACCACACAAATTAAGGACAGCATCGAAAGTAGTTACATTTTATTGATACTATATTATATATGTGTTATATATAACATATTGATATGTGCCCTGCCCCACTTACTTTTCAGGCTTTGGTTTTGGGGAGTTTTTTGTTTGTTTGTTTTTTGATTCCCCCCATAGCTTTTTCATTAACTCTAGATGATACCTGTAATTCAAAGAACTGTAGACTTGGAAACGTGTATGTCTTACAGAAGTAAATAAAAAGAGTAATTGAAAGCATGATATGAAATTGACCACCACAGCACCCCATGGCTGGATGCACTGGCTAGGAGGGGTGGTGTTTCTTTAGAGCGCCTGTAGACAACTTGTCTTTTTATTGTAGGTGTGGAGGGCGCAGCTTTCCAGAGTAGACTTCCACATGATCGTATGACATCTCAAGAAGCTGCCTGCTTCCCTGATATAATCAGTGGGCCACAGCAGACTCAGAAGGTGTTTCTGTACATCAGGAACCGCACCGTAAGTTTGTCGTAAAGTATTTATGAAAAAAGGGTAGGACATTTGTGTACCTTGCAAAGACTTTTTGTCAGTTACCATGTCTAACAGTTGGTAGATTGTTTTTTGTTTTGAGATGTTGGGGTTTAATTTCTGGCATCTTGTCATACTCTAAGTTGCTAAGGAAGTTGCTATCCAGTTCTTAATCAAAGCAGTGCTGTGAGGCAGCATAAAGAATCTGTAGTGTATTTACAATATCCAAAACAGTCATAGCAAACTACGTGATTCAGTTGATGCAACTTTTAAAAAGGAACAGAAAGCTGGTGCAAATGTTCTACTACTTTATTTCAGCTTAAAGTATAAGCTTCTGTAGATAACTTAAAAATAATAATGAAACACATTGTTGCTTAAGGCAAACCGCTAAGCTTTTATTTTTTACTTTGTTTAGCATTCAGTTGCTGTATTTCTGAGACATCAAGCCAATCATGTGGCTTATTCTCAGACCAGAACAGTTACTTTGCCAGCTTTGATTTCATAAAAGAAATTGTAATGTTGAAGAAATGAAACTACTTCTGAATGCTTGTAGCATTTCTGCCCCAGTTCAAAACTTCCATGCAACTTAAGAATGAAGGGGCAGTATTCAAATAATTATTCAGGAGTTCACTCACTTGAGTTCAGCCAAACATGCCTGAGATTTAAACCTTAACAAAACTTAAATATTAGTATTCCGTTTTGCAGATTGTGACAACACTATTAGGGTCCTCAGCATACCAACAGGGATCAGGACTTTCTCCTGTATTTTGAAAAGTGTGTTTTAGAAAACTTAGTCATGTTAAAAAAAAAATTACCAGTATGACAGCAAGAAATATTTTGAAAATTGCTGTAGTTAAGGGAGAAAACACCTTATGTACCACTCATTTTTTTTCACAGACTTAAGATGATCAAGGAGCATCCCAGTGTATTGACCCTGGTAGCACCCAGTGCTTAGTAACTTAATGTGTGGTGGACATCTTCATGCTTTTCCTGTGAAATTTCCCTCTAACCCAAGTTGTAAATATTGGGAAGTTATGAAATGTGTAAAAACAGACCAAAGCATGCCAAAGAGTTTGAAAAATTGTTCTCTCAAAACAAATAATGAATAATCCTTTTACAAAGGTTTTAGAAGCAGAAAAGCCTTCCACTGAAACTTAAGAAATTACTGGAGAGGAGTATTTGCAGGGAAAACCAGCATTGCTGGTCTGTGGGTCTTATTCACTATGGAGGAACTTGGAGAAGTTCCTGAGCAGGAATCCCATCTGAGGAAGGCTTGTGAGAGGCTCTCCTCCAGGGAGAACAGCGGGGGTTATGGAACAGCTGATATGAACCTGGTGCTCAGCAGAGCTCTGGCAGTGCTGGGAACTGCAGTGTGCAATCTCTTACTTTGAGCTGGAATCAAGAATTGAATGAATGATCTGGTAAGTAAAAATACCACTTTGAAGGCTTACGGTAGCTTTTACAAAGGGAAGTCAGTAACTTGATCTTTTATGTGAATCCCTCCCACTCCAAAATAACATTAAAAAAACCACAACCAACCAACCAACTAACTAAAAACCCCAACCCAAACCAGTAAAAGCTCTTGCTAAATTGCTGTGACTTAAAACAGATGATGAAAATCTACAAAGCAAAATGTAGTATAAATGATTGTCATGGCAGTGCAGGGCAGTTGTAGTTTGAAGCCTTTAAAATCTTCTAAGGCCTGTGCTGTTCTGTGTTCATAGAGGGTCTAAAAATCAGAATTTGTAGAAAAAGTGGAAGTAATTGTATATATACATACATAGAGATTTATATATAAAAATATGATTAAGGGCTTTGTACTCTTCCCTCTGAGAATGGAGCCTTAGCACTGTGGTACGTAGCACTGGGAAACTCTTAGTTTCACGCTCAAAAATTGTTAGAAAAAGCAGTGTTAAAAACTATTGGGAAAGTGAGTACAAGAAAGTACTGCACTAACGATGAAATTTGCCTCAAATGACCTCCCAAATTATATGGAAATTTTTTCTTAATCCTTCCTATTCATTATACTTGTATGGTTTGTTTAATATCTGTGAGGAGCTGTAAAGTTAAGTAGTGCAACTGTAGAGAAATACCCCCAAAATTACTAATTCTGGAATATAAAATGGTATATAATGGCCAGTCTTCGCGAACAAAGAACCGGGGAAGGTCTTTACACCTTCCAGCCTATGGAGATGCTATGTATGACCTAGATCTAGGCATGGAACAGTACAATTGTTAATTAACTACTGCCTCCATGCCACAAAGTAGGAGTTCTGTTGGGAAAAACATTTTTTTTCCTAGCATGAAGTGACATTAACATTTTACAGACAGTTCTTCCTGCTCTATTTTTGAACTGTAACTGTCTTCCAGATAAGCTTTTTATGTGTATGTGGCCAGTATATATGTGTAATTTGTGTATATGTGGTAGTGTCTTACATTGGTGAAGATGGATTGAATGATTAAATGTCTAAGATAAACCTTGTAACATGACAATTACTGCTGTAGCTTTTATGAAAATATGAAATTCCATTATGAAAATATGAAATTTGATACCAAAAAGACAGTACTGGCTGATGCATCTTTCTGCTACCTTGGTGTATTTCCACTTACTTGAAATGGTGTGAGAATTTCAAGTAGACTGTATTGTACCTTGAGGAACACTTTGAGGTGAAGTTCAGTGCAGCTTGGGTAGTCCTGCCAAAGTTTAACTCATTAGAGGATTTCGTCTCCTGACAGTATTTAGTAGCAAACACACACCTCGAAAACACCTCTTTTGTATTGCTTAATCTGATGTCATCTTTTTTGTTTAAATACAGCTGCAGCTCTGGTTGGATAACCCAAAGATTCAGCTGACATTTGAAGCAACTATCCAACAATTAGAAGCACCTTATAATAGTAAGTCAAATCTTTCACTGCCAGAATTGTCCCATGAGTACTGCTGTTCTCTTTCACTTTTATTTGGGGAAAAGCTGCTTCAGATGGGTCATTTGTTAATGCAGCTCCGTGAGTGTTCGTGTGCAGACTGTGTTAGTGAATTATGTTCATGATTCAGGTTTGGTGGAATTCACTTATCTGGTAAAGAAATATCACTACCAGGATTCATAAAAGCTGCTAAAAGATGGGTTATTACAGAAGTTTCCTGCAGGGTTAATTCACATGTATCTTTTAAGGTTTGCTACAGCTTCAAGTTGGTTTTCAGCTGTGAGACTTTATTAATCATATGGGTATTGGGAGGCATTAAAAAGTTGCCTAAGACTTGAGCAGACTGGATGTGATGAAAGAAGGCAGTCAAAGAGTGAGAAGTTACTGCTTGCAAATACTTGAGGCTTTCTTGAGACTATTCTACCTGTCTCAAATAAGATCTCAGTAAGCTGGAAAAGGGTGGAGGGAAGCCATAAAAAAAGCTAAGAAGAAAATAGTACTGAAATGAACACAGATACAACTGTCAGGGATTGCAAAAGAGCAAATTATTGTGCTTTTAAGAATAAAAATGAGAATTCAGTGCTCCAGTAAGGGGTTGGCTTAATATTGGTAAATCCCATCACAGTTCTGTGTCAAGATCTCAGGATTTTGCAGTCAGTTTCAGAAAAGGTGTTCTTTCCCACTAGATTAAAAGAAGCATTTAATGTCCTGTGCAGCTTTTCAGGCAAGACTCCAAACTGCAGTACAGCATGGAAAACAGCTTGTGTTTTCCAGAAAAACTAGGCTCAGGCACCTTCGGGAAGATGGATTGGTCATTAGGGCAGCAGGGCTACGGAAGGCGATGTGTTCAGCAGGACTTGACTGAGTTACTGCTGTGAATATGTCCTTAGTCCATACATACTGTTTAACATAAAGAATAATTTTAAAACCTTACACATTCTTTTAGGTGACACGGTGCTCGTTCACAGAGTTCACAGCTACCTGGAGCGGCATGGGCTGATCAACTTTGGGATCTACAAAAGAGTGAAGCCTCTTCCAAGTAGGAAACTTGAACATTGTTTCTAATTGAAGTTTTGGTTTTTTGTTCTGTGATTTCTCAGGACAAATTTTTGAGTGGGTTTTTTTTTTAAAATTGCAGTGCTAGGAAAATAAAGTCTGGAAATCCAACTGGCTATAGATGTTAATGTGTTTTATTTTGGCATGGAGAAGCCATGTACTTACATAAATTGAGAGGAGAAATGATGTCAAATCTTCTTTAGATCATTTGGTGACTGTCACTGTTTAATGAGTTATCTTTGCTTCTCGATTGAATAACTAAAGTCAGAAACACAATATTGTACTTAGATCTGCTACGTGCTTATGTGATGTTTGAATTTTGCAAGTGAACTTCTCTGCCCTTTCTAGACTTTATTCTTCTGAGGCAGAAATAGATGAAACTATGATACTTGTCCCATAATTAATAAGAATCAGTAAGTAATTAATAAGAATCAGTTTCTTCTTCAGACAGTTGCCCTTCAGAAGTATTTTTCCTCCTGTTTTCTTCCTTGTCCCAGATGTACTACTGGTGCATCTTTCTTGTATGTATCTCGTTAAAAAAAATTAGTGTTAGTACAGTACTCAGTTTTCTTTTTGCTATAGTTCTGTCAGAGCTACTGATGAGAAGGAAGCTGCTTTTTGATCTTCGTACCTCTTAAATGAAATTTTAACATAACTGCTTGCAATCTAGGACTGCATATATTGAGCATCACTGTACCTGATTTTTTCCTTTCTTTAGCCAAGAAGACTGGAAAGGTGATCATTATCGGTTCTGGAGTCTCTGGGTTGGCAGCAGCTCGCCAGTTGCAGAGTTTTGGAATGGATGTCACAGTTCTGGAAGCCAGAGTATGAATTTCTGTGCTGTTTTACTTCTATATAGCAACTTAACCAGTAACCACATTTCGTACTAGCACAGGGCTGTGTCCCAGACACGTGCCCAGGATGGATAAGTGTATGTGCTGTTCCAGGCAGCATCCATCCGGGATGGATTGCTGATCCTGAACCTGTCTCACAGTGCAGCAAGTGGATCTATTCTTGCTGGGAGCTGTCTGATGCTTTCTCAGGGGTGGGCTGGGTAGTCAGGTGCTAGTGTTGTGTGTTTATACCAGGAGAAGCTTAGAACCTCCTTCCTTTCATGGTTAGAAATTTGTTTTTCATCAGAGAGCAGAATGCAAGTCTGTATTTTGAGAACTTGCTTGTTAAATAGAATCATTGCTTGGAATTGTTTCACAACATCAAGCAGCATATTTTTCTTGTAACTTTTAAGTCTTCATTTCTTTTCTTGCTTATTACTATGTGCTTGACAGAGACTTTAAAATTATGTAGGGCTACAGTTTGTGGTATGTGAATTAACTGCTTGTTCTTTCAGGAATAAAGTATTCTTCATATCCAGAAGAAGTGGAATATATTTTTTTTTTTTTAAGTTGAAGTTTTTTCATATAATTAATCAAATTGAGAATAGCTCGATACACAGTTAAACTAAATGCATTGACCAATTGGACTTTATCTTATGTTTTACTTCCTGGCTTCTTTTGGTTGTACATTCTCACACTTTTATAGCACAGATTAAAATAATCTGCTCAAATTTTTATTATAAGAATAATGTTTCAGGCTCTTAATATTGTTACTGCTCTTCTGGCTGGGGAGCAGAGCTGCTGGCTGTGCCACACCACTGCAGAAAGTAGAGTGCAACAGTCTGATGGTTTAGGAGTCTCTTGCTCACCTGAATGTCTGATGGAGCGGGGAGTGTTTACCATTTGCTTGCTTGAGTTTTGAGGTTGGTTGAGGTTTTTTTGAAGCTGGAATTAAGAGATTCATGCTGGAACCTAGCTTTTGTTCCGTGCATCTTGGTTATACTTAAGTAAATACTTAATTTACAGTACATAAATCTGGCATAAAACTATTTTATAATAACGCATGATATTTTTCAGCCATTTTTCTCTAGACTGCTCTCCTTGAGTAGCCTGTATGTTTTATTTTTAATGCAGTTTGGTGTTTTCATGCATTACGATTTCTGTGATTTGAGTAATAGTTTATTTCTACTCATTTTCTATAGCTTTGAGACTATCAGTTTACATGCTTCTGAACTGCTAACCTAATTACTAAAAATGAAACTTAACATTTTTATATTAATTGGTAGTTGTCTGGAATCTTTGCCCATTTGTAACCAATATTTTTCTCTGATAACATCCTGCTAGCTGGATGAGAATAGGGAAGGGTGATATTTTTTCTTATGAAGTTTAAAGTGGTTGAGAAATAAGTATCATCTTTAGTAGGATGTGAAAGGATAAAAATTTTTTTTCTAGCTTCCAAAATGGGCTGCTGATTCATGATTTTCTTCTTAATTGATAGCACAGCTGAATAATTTCCTATATAGCTATTGAATTTTATAGTAGGAAGTAGGAGAAGGAGGAAATTTATATGTAATTTAATTTCTTCATGGACAATACAGGATTGGTTTTGGAATCAGAATAGATCCTACTGTAGATAGAGTTAAATCTGCCCAAATCAGATTAGGCACCTTTTTTTTCTATTTTTATTTGCTTTTTTTGTTCCTTCTCTTTTTTAAATGCAACTTAAACATTTTATTCCTTAACTTACATGAACCAATTGTGTTCAAGTGTTCATTTGCAGTGGTTTTTGAAACAGTGTACATTCAGTACCTTTGATTAAGAGAACACTTGCACCACATTCTGTAGAAGCTTCAGTGATTATATGTCAGTGAGATACCTTGCTGCCTGTAACTGGAGGATTATTGTACTGTGCTTTTAAAAGGACCGAGTGGGAGGAAGAGTCGCCACCTTTCGCAAAGGGAACTACGTTGCTGATCTGGGAGCAATGGTGGTGACAGGACTGGGTGAGTTTTTCATAATCAAAAGGAGCGGGGAGGAAAACAAAGACAAGATCTTACAATTTTGAAACCTTAATGCTATTTTCTTTCCTGGCCAAAATAATTGGGTATTTTTATAAAGTACATGTTCTAGTTCAGCCTCTTTGGCGGTTAGCATTTTTTATAAGTAGCAGGGCTGTATGATGGGAGTGACCCCGAAGAGATGGCATGTGTTTTTTCATTTACATTGAAAAACAAGGGAGAAGGGGAAATGCAGATTAGAGCCTGTCTTCAGAATTTAAACCCCAAAAGTACTTTCTCCAAGTGATTTAAAAAATAATTGTAAAAGTAATGGCAAACAAGCTGTATTTTTTCCTATTTATTACTGGTTTATGGTATGGCATCAGTTATTGCTGTGGTTACTCTGCTAAGAAGATGGGGAAGTGTTTAGTGTGGAATATCTTTCAATAATGCAGTGAGATAATAAAATAATATAAAGTCTATACTAAAGCTGAGTTACTGACTGCGTAAACTTGGTGTCCGTCTTATGATTAGTCTTATTAAATTGCATACAGAGAATCTGGTTCCAGACAAAAGACTTAAATGGCACAGTCCTAGAAAAAGAAATTTCAGGTTGCCTAGTGAAAAACTACTATTTTTATGTTTAATTCGTATAATCGTAAAATGTTAAGGAGTTG